ATAGATTTCGTCGAGGTATAAAGTCTTCTCGCGATGTCTAAATTTCAGCGAGGTATGAAATCTTCTCGCGATGTATAAATTTGACGAGGCATTAAATCTTCTCGCGGCGCATAATGATTTTCTGCGATGCATGATTTCCGCGATGCATGATTTTTTGCGATGCATGATTTTCCGCAATGCATGATTTTTAACTCGCAATGCATGAATATTCATCTCGTCTCTATTGATGATAACGGCAGGACGACCTCCAGGTAATATATCGCCTTGGTCGATTATAACAATAAAATAACTATCTCCTCTAGGGTTATGCATTGTCCTGATTGACAATGACTATCTTGCTTGATAATGTGACGCAAATAGCGCCCTTTACGGAAATCATAAACTCTTCCTTAAGATTCCTGTTTGATTCACCTTTGATCTGGCTAGACGCTCTTTGTTAATTTCATATTGTTGGAAATTGATGGATATAAACAATTCATATTCCCAAGTCTTCGACATAAGTGATATAAAATGTCTTTTGCTTCTAGGAAAACCATGGATTTTGGGAAATTTTTCCTCTTTGGAGTTCTCCTTGTTCTTCGTCGGAAGAATTTTGCCAATTTCAAAGCAAAGCTATAAACCTGTGTCCACAGAAAAATTATCAATTTTAAAGATGTACTAATCTGTGTCGATTTCTTCAGTTGTTTGCTCTTTGTATCGCTATCTCCGGTTTATTTCCCGATCTCCCGACTCTTGATAGATAAGACAAAAATTTTATGCCAAACAAATGAAACGTAAAAGGGAAAATTTAAGAGAAATAAAATTTAGAGAAATAGTATCTTGAAAAGGTCACGCCAAGTCATGTCATATCAGGCTTAACAAACTTCTTTGAGCCTGACACTCAGAGGTCTATCTGATCATTTGTTGGTGAGTCTTCAGAGTCACTCCAGACTTATAGGTAAGGCACATAATGAAATTTTGAGGCCATTCTCAAAATTTCTGTCCCAATTTACTTTCTTGCTTATCTTTTCTTGGTAACTGAGCAGATCGCAGAATTTTTGAGATCTTCTCAAAAATTCTGTCCAATATATTCACAATATATCGCGTCTGTATGTTAACCTGTAGTTCGTATTTTTCACACATATTCATAATATATCGCGTCTGTATGTCAGTGTATACATGTTGAATATCAGCATATTTTTCAACTTTTGAAGGCTGAAAGTCCATTTTCAGCAGCGTATTTTCCCTGCTATTAACTCAGATTTCGAATTTGGCCTCTTGTACATCTTTTGGTTTGTATATTAGTGTATACAACATGTATTCTGCTGCTCAAATCTGCAGATTTGATTTTTTCAGCACTGAAGATGTTGGTTTTGCAACCTGTACGCCAATTTTGAGGAATCTACGACTCGGGGAAGATGTTTTGAGTCTTTATGGCTCAAGGAAAAATGCAAGGGATTGGAGTGAAGTCCATGAGGACTCGAGGAAGGTTTCACATGCAATAAAACGAGAATAGATTAACACAAAATTATTGGGGAAATAACACAAAAAAAAAATTAGAGACTAAAGTAGGGACTTTACACTTGCGACTTGACAAGTATACCATACGCTAATTATTTAGATGAAACATACTAAGGTTTCACATCCATAGGCTCTAAGAAGGGTGCTGCAAATTGATAAGAGTCACCATAGTATTTTAAATATAAAAGGGTCCAAGCTTATGCCAAGCTAGCTGATTGCTACTGCCCATGAGAGCCAGGCAACAGAAGGAGCTTTGGCAGAAATAAATAAAGAGAACAAAACCACATTCTACTCAAATAAACAAACAAAACAACAAAAGATTAAAAAAATTCTTAAACAGAACAGTTTCAAACAAAGCAAAGGACCAGACCCTTAGAAAAAAACCAATGAGGGTAATAAGGATCAACCCAAAATATTTATGATTAAATTAGAAACAAGATAAAGGGTCTAACTATTTATCCTACATGAAAAATGGAATCACTATGAGATTTGAAAGCCCCCAATCAGTATAGCAACATGAAAACACATCAAACATCAAGTTCAAACAGGCAAAATGACCTGATGAGATGATACTACAAGCTGTAAGATCCAAAATGGCGAAGAAGTCTACCTAAACAGCCTAAGTAGTTGACACTTGAAACCAAAACCTACGAAACCACTTCGAGCGTACACAAAACAGAAACCCACCAGTATGCAGGTCATATGCTATTGAGTCAACAAATCTAAAAAAAAGAACTACCAATTATATATGAAAGATTGAAATTCAACTCTTATTCAGAGGGAACAAGAGATACTCTTGGAGACGAAGAACAAATGATTTTCATCACAATAGATTTTAAACAACACGAAGATGGAAGATAATCTAAACAAAATATGCTAAAGGACTAGACAAACATAGAAAGTAAGAGTAGAGAAGAATGAGTTATCGCATCTAATGGACGATAGATACAACAACGTTTTATCTCCTCGTTAAACAGCTTCAGGACTCGTACATCATTCACAAAAAAAAAACACATGAACCTAACTTCTAATTCATAAAACTAAATCACATTCAATTTAGAACAAACTGCCCATAACTAGCCGTCAACAACGAATCACAGCTTGAAATGTTTTTTTAGACTAAGAAAAGCTTGAGTATTCTCTTCAAGAATTTAAGAAAACAGAAAACCTTTCTTCCTAAACAAATTTTCCAACCCCCAAACAGTGAGGAAATGGCAACATATATAGCAATTTCTCAAAGGTTGAGAGCGGGGGGAAACGAAAGAAGGTTTGGGGCAAATTCGTGATTCCATGTCCCCTTTTGAATTCGAAATCCTCTCTTCACCCAAAGGATAAGGACGCCAGCTAAAAGAGTACGAATCTTCAACAGAACAAGCAATCGCAGCCATCGAATTTGCAAGCAAAGGATGGCGGAGAAAGGAGATTTCTCCACCTAGGCCTATCCTCCAACGCCCTCGTACGACTTGCAGGGGAGGGGAACGGCTCGAGGAGTGAAGGGTAAGGCCAGACATGTGCAAGAAACGGCTAATGGGTTGCGAAATTTTTGGTTTTTTTTTACGCCCATTTTCTGCTTTTTTCTGGGAAATGCTGGTTGGAGATGAAGAAGGGGAATCGGGTCAGGGATGGGTCGAAAGGAAAAAGGGGGAGAAGGGAATTGGGTTAGGGATTTAGGGATTATGGGCCGGATAGGAGGAATGGGCTGGGAAAAAGGGAATGTGCTGGCTGGAAAATAAAAGGGGAATTGGAAAAAGAAGTAGGCCCAAAACTGTTTTTTTTTAAAGAGTTGGGAGGGAATGGATTAAATGAAAAAAATGGGCTGGAAATTAAAAACGAAATGGGCTGGGAGAAGAAAAAAAAGAAAAATGGGCCTGAAAATGGGAATTGGTAGGCTGGAAATTAAATAAAAAGGAACGGACTCACTATTGAAGAATAGGCCCAAAAATTGAATTGAAAATTTAAGAGGGGTTAATTTAATAAATAGCCAAATTGAATTAGGATAATAAATTTGACTAAACCTTAAATAAAACAAATTTGTATTAATTAATCAACGAGCTTCTTTATTTTAGTAATATAATTATTTTAATTCAAAATATAACCATAATTTAAGCTAAATTAGTCAAATAGAATACTTACTAAAATTTAAAATATTTTGAGAAAAAATCGTAAAATATACCAACTACATACATAATAATGCAAAATATATATTCTATATAAAATTATAAGAAAAATGACCAAAGTATTCAAAATAACATAAAGTTCATATGTTATTATTATTATTTGCAAAATTTATAAAACTAATTATTTTAAATTGTTTGGAAATTTAAGAAGTTCGAAAACTAATTTATACCGGGGAGGGTCGAAATTGGGTGTCAAACAACAAGTTATTTACAGATTTGGGAATTTTACATCAAAGATCATGTCCATACACTCCTCAGCAAATGGAGTTGCTGAGAGGAAGCATAGACACTTACTTGAAGTTACCACAGCTTTAAGACTTCAAACTCACATTCCTATTAGATATTGGGGTCATTGCTTGTTAGCTGTTGCATATATCATTAATAGATTACCAAGCAGTGTACTAAAGTTTGATACTCCTTATGAAAGGTTGTATGGTAGTAAACCATCTGTGTCTCATGTCAAAACTCTAGGATGTTTATGTTTTGCTAAACTTCTTACAGAACATGATAAGTTGATGCCTAGATCAAGACCAGCAGTACTCATGGGTAATTCAGAATTACAAAAGGGATATATACTTCTTGATCTCACTGATAAATCATTTTTCACAAGTAGGGATGAGGTGTTTAGAGAAGACTTATTCCCTTTGCAAAGATGGATCATTCAATACAGGAAAGAGTGTTTGTGGATCCTATGCAAGTATCAGATATGCTAAGTGGTGATTTACAATGTACAAGTCTTGTGGTTCCCAGGTGTTCTCCTACTAATGTGTCTCATGATGCTAATGTGTCTCATGAGACTCATACTTTGTCTTCTTTTGATGAGGTTGATCATGTAGAGTCTCCAACTGTTGGTATGGTAGACAATGAGGTGACTCAAGAGCGTGCAACTCTTACTACTCATCGGAGGTCTACCAGACAGAAGCTCAAACCAACTTGGATGAAAGATTTTGTATCTTTGACTGTTAACAAAGAAGTCATGTATTCTTTGGGAAATTACATGAGCTATTCTCATCTTTCTCCTACATATCAAAGTTATATTGCAGCCACTTCTCTTATTAAGGAACTTGATTCCTATCTAGAAGTTGTTCATGATGAAGATGGATGGAAGCTATGCCGAATGAAATTCAAGCACTAGAAAGTAATCATACTTGGGAGCTAACTGATTTGCCTAAGGGGAAGAAGGCTATTGGGTGTAGATGAATTTATAAAGTTAAATACAACTCATCAAGTGAGATAGAGAGATTCAAAGCAAGTCTAGTGGCCAAGGGTTATTCTCAACAAGAATGAATAGATTACAAGGAGACTTTCTCACCTGTTGTTAAAATGGTGACAGTTAGAACTATTGTTTCTCTTGCAGCAGCTAGGCATTGGCATATTCATCAAATGGATGTGTTCAATGCTTTTCTTCAAGGTGATTTAGATGATGAAATTTATATGCAGCTACCTCAGGGATTTGTTGGTCAAGGGGAGAAAGTATGTAGACTAACAAATTCCCTATATGGTATGAAACAAGCTCCAAGGCAATGGAATCAAAAGTTGACTGAAGCTCTTAGCAATCTCAAGTTCAAACAAAGCTAACATGATTATTCCTTGTTTATTAATCAGTCAGAAGGCGGAACTATATTAATGTTGGTTTATGTGGATGATATGTTAATTACTGGCAGCAGTCTTAAACTAATAGAAGACACAAAGAAGGCATTACAACAAGTATTCAAGATGAAAGATTTAGGAGAATTAAAATACTTTCTAGGCATTGAGTTTACCAGATCACCAGCTGGTATATTAATGCATCAAAGAAAGTATACTCTGGAACTTATAGTTGAGGTTGGATTGACGGCAGCTAAGCCTGCAGGAACACCTATTGACATCAATGTCAAACTAACATCTATACTATATGATGAGCATGTGAATAAGGAACATGAAGAATCAGATGATCCTTTGATTGATCAGACAGCATATCAGAAAATAATAGGCAAGTTGTTGTATTTGAATACGACAAGACCAGATATATCATTTAGTACTCAGACATTGAGTCAATTTTTACAGCAACCAAAAAGGTCTCATCTTGATGTTGGATTAAGGGTGATCAGATATCTAAATAAACAACTTGGTCAAGGATTATTATTAGCAAGTGATTCAGATGGACAAGTTACTGCATTTTGTGATGCTGATTGGGCATCTTGTCCACTCACTAGGAAGTCTGTGACAGGGTATATGGTTAAGATTGGTCAATCATTAATATCATGGAAGGCAAAGAAGCAAACAACAGTGTCAAGAAGCTCAGATGAAGCTGAGTATAGAAGCCTGGCTACAACTATTTCAGAATTGATGTGGCTGCTGGGATTATTGAAAGAAATAGGTACTAAGATTCAAGTACCATTTCAAGTATACAGTGACAGTAAGGCTGCTATTCATATAGCTGGTAATCCAGTATACCATGAAAGGATCAAGCACATTGAAATCGATTGTCATTTCATAAGAGAAAAATTGCAAAAGGGATTGATTAAAGTTGAGTATATCCATACCAAGGAACAACCAGTTGATGTATTGACAAAAGGGTTATCTAGACTACAACATGAACACTTGTTATCCAAGCTAGGGGTTTTGAATATTTTTGCACCTCCTAGCTTGAAGGGGAGTGTTGTAATATAGGGAAGTTATGCAATTTAGAAAGAATAAAAGGGTAGAATAGTCTTTTTCATAATGTTAGTTATAACAACTTATCCCTTTGTTAGTTGGATAAGTTGTTATTAGTTAGTTAATGTGATAAAGAGCTATATTAGTTAGATAAGTTGTTATTAGTTAGTTAATGTGATAAAGAGCTATATATAGCTCATTCATTGTACATGGACAGATACAATTTTTCACTGGATAATACTACTCCTTCTTCTTCTTAGTTGTTTCTTCTTAGCTGTTTCTTCTTCTTCTTCTTCTTATCATCTAATGAAGTTTTCCTTCATTAACGAACAGATTGAGTGGTTGGTCGTACTTGATGCTTATTATATGAATTCTACCGTGTCCATGAATGTTTTCATAAGTAGATGTTTGGACTGGTTTCTCAACTTGAAACTTTATTCAAAATTCACTTGTTTCTCTTAGAGGCTTCTTCATTTATGCCTTGTCTAAAGGTTTAGCGGAATGTGTGTAGCCCATTGAGTAAAATCAAATTGCATAAACATTTGTCTTGAAGTTCTTTTTTATTTGCTACGGTATCATTCTATTTTAAGGTAGGATTTTTATTCGGGAAGTTTGTTTTAAATATGTCCAATTATGCTTGATCATGTCATTGGAGTGAGTCTTCTTTTTTTTGAAAATGTTTAAGTAGGTAATTAACTTGTCATTTAGCTATTGAAATATCTTGCCAGGTCCAATAGATTCCTTAAATTTGCTGTTACTTTAGCCATTTTGGGTGTCTAGTTGGTTTATCTTTTTTGTCTTAAAACTGTTTTGTTTGAATAGTCTCTTTAAAAAAGGAAGATAGTCCCTGTTATTAGTTTTTTCAGTATAATTTTCTTTGTCCTCTACTCTTTCAAGCATTCTGACAAATAATATGTCCTATCATCTAAAGGTTTAGATTCTAGGAATATGATAATGGCCCTAAGAGATCGAGTTGCGAAAAGTTTCTCCTCATAATTCTCATCGATTTATATATGAATATATATTGCTAATTTCATTTCTTTTGACCGTTCTTTTCTTTATCTCAAAGAGTCTTTAATTGCGTTTAGTCTTTGGTTGTGCAAAATATTCTTTCTCATGTTGGGTTTATGTGATCATCGAGTAAGTATATGTATTATCCTTTATAGTAATTCTTATCGTCTTTTCTTGCATAAACTTCCTTGATTGAGTTCATCGGACTCCATAGGTTCTCCCTCACAATTTCAAAATGGGTCACCGAGGCCCAAATATTCCTCATTCGAGTCGACCAGTCTTCATATTCGATGGACAGGTCCCGGAGTCGAAATATGGAGTTAGATTGGAGATTTGAAAGAAGATGGGGTCAAAAGACCCATTTTTACTTAACCTAAATAATTGTATTTTGTTACTTTTGGGACTAAGTCCTTATTGTTTTGTATTATTGTTTTGCTAGAGGTTTAGGACAGGTATAATTGAAGTGGGTCAAAAATCCAAAAAAAAAAATGGATCCAAATATCGGTCTAGGCCGACAGAAATCGGATTTGGGCCCAACTCTCTCTCTCTTTTACTTTATCGCATTTATTTCCCTATTTGTCAATATCTGTCGTTACATTTTAGGGTTAAAAAAGTTCAAATTCCCGCAAGACGCCGTTACTATTTTAACTATTTAAACTAAATCAATCGACTTCAATTGGACTTAAAAAAATAATAAATCTTGCAAGTCAAAATTTCACTTAGATAGTAAGCTAATATTTCACTTTCAAACAACTCTGAATGATTTTTATTCTCAAATTAAGTTAGCCAAACACTTTAGTTGCCAGAAAATCGTATTAACAGGTATTTTAGGTGTCTTAAATACCTTTCTAAAATACTAATATGAACCCTCGAACCCCTTAAAACTTTTTTCAACCGGTTTCTGTTTTAATCGATTGAAAAAATAATTTTTCTTAAAAATTAAATGGCAATTCTAAACAAGACTTACAAACTATATAAACAATTTTCCTTTTAAATAAAACACTGAATATGTTATAATTATTCAATTTATATATGTCAACTAAGAAAATATGACCCAATTTGGCTTTAGACCTCCAGAGTTATTATGATGGCCCGAGACACCTCTTTCCCTACCATCCTAGACTCACCATATAATGTAGGTATGAAATTGGCTGGATAGACCTTGGTTAAAAGGATGTTTATAGTGTTGATGAGTATGTAACAAGTTTTGTGTGACAAAAATTAAATTGCCTCTTTTTTTTAAAAAAATAAATGTGTGCGCTTTAATCTTAACCTAGGGATGAGAATATGAGAAGATATTTCCAATTCAGTGGATGACCATGGAGGCATCTTAAAAAGTTCTTTAGCACAAATTATATTATATTTTATACATAACATGTATTATGTTGTTAAATATTTAGACTATCTGGTCCAATTGTCTTTTAGCTTTGATGTGAAGCAAGATTTGATTAGCTAATTTTTGTCTTATTGTCAACAGCACCACTGAAATTAGGCAAATTTGTACAGTAATTATTCTATTTCTTTTATAAAAATAATAGTAACATTGTTACTCTAACGGCTGTTCTTTTTTTTAGGATTAAAAAAAATAATAATAACCCACGAGTTTAACGTGAAGCATGTGCTTAAATTTATGTCATACTCTCAATCTTTTAATTACTGTATGAATGACGAAGAAATCTCAATTCCTTGTAAATTTTGGTTATATTTTATTACTAATAGTTATTGATTTACATAGAATACTTGCGTGCAGCAATCATCTGTGGGTTTTTTTCTTCAACTTGTGTATAGTTTAATAATTTTTAGAATTGAGCTATGACGCAAATCATTAGATAAAAGAACAAAAATGTTATGTTTGAGTGTTTGTTTAAAATGGTCTTTAGAATATATTTTTTGAGCACTTTTAATTTGGACAAAAGTGAATATTTTTTGTCCTTGTCAAATTTTTAAAGAATTTTGAATGTTAGATTCAACGAGAACGGTGGAAAAAAATATTCACAAGAACTTAGATATGGAGGTGCAGTTTTTGATATTTTTGTTAGTATCAATCGGTCAATTTTGGATTATGATATAGTTATTTTTATGTGTGATTTTTGTGACTACTTTGCTGAAAAAATCTATTTTTTTTGTATATGGTTGAGTTTTTGGTGTTGTGATTTGGAGATTTGATGGGAATTTTTCAAGTGCATGTTCCTAGTTAGATTTAGTTTTTTCATAATTTTCATAAAATCTTGGCATAATATATAAACATACCTTTTTATAAATTTAAATATTTATTTATGCACGAACAAATTAAAAAATATAAATATTAATAAAACTAAATAAAAGGACACATTTATTTATAACGTGTAAAATGTATTAGTCAGAATTCATTAAATATTTGATGAAGATGAACTTAAAGTGCACAACTGCTTAAATATATTTACGAGACAATTTTAAACTTACTACTAAATACAGACATATGTGTCATTTTCTCAAAGACATTACGTTAGATTAAAAAAAAATCTTGTAATGCTAAGATGAATAAAAATAAAAATAAAAATCATGAGTTTGTGTGTGCTAATATTAGCAAAGGATATATATATTTTTTTTTCTGGCTAATCGCAAAATTAGGTCAATTCTTTGCCCCATATGGTCAGGAAGGAGAGGATTATTTTTTTAATGTCTGATCAGTGCAAAACGACAAATTTTACCAACCATTAACATGAAAAGTCCACTATATTTTTAATCACACATTTGAAAACCACAACTATGTATATTAGTACGCACTGCACTATCAACTATTTGTACTTCAAATTCAATCCCAACTACCAACAATACATAACAATTTATCATAAGATGTTGGGATAGCCTTGAGACAAAACTAGCATATAAATGCACCATACAAATGGATAAATAGAGGTGTTATGATTTATGTCATGATTGTAATTATTAGATTGATCAGTTAACCAAGACTAGGAATCAGGACGATAAATCTAGGGTCAAAACGCTTGAGCGTGGTAGCAGAACACAACTTAAGTTTTAACCCAAGATTGTCACGCGCTATTTAAAAGAAAATATGTGTAGGATTTCCTAAGCATCTCCATCAGGTTTTCATTTCCTCGCTTTGACTGAATTATGTATAGCAGGGTGGTGTCGTAATGCTAGAATAAGGAGCATAAATAATATTATGCAAATATCTTGACCATAATTGTATGAGTATCAAAGATAGATATGAATGAACATCAGTTCCGTGTTTCAACAGATACTTTTAAGGATTCATGGGGAAAATGCAGCTGAACTGACTGCAAAAGTAATTTGTCTCGACGCTTATCTTGATATCAACATCAATTTACTGCTAATAGATCACTATTTTTCTACTGAATTTCCCCTGGAAAATATTCAGGGGCTAATTCCATGAATATTTTGATTGAACCGGTGAGAAAAGAAAAGGTGTACACAATGTTTTCATACGAAAAGTTATGAAGTTCTGCACTATTTCAGTACGAATTTACTTTCCACCATGCATCTTTCAATGAGTTGATTCTATGGGAAATGAGTGATAAAATCGTGTTATATAGCACAAATCTCTCACTGATTCACGGTGGGAACAAACTTTGTTTCTAGTATTGATTTACGAGTACAAACTTCCTCTCAAGACTCCACAAAATGGGGATCATTTGATCATCTTCATCAATGTGCATTCAGCAAACTTAATTTGGTAAATACTAAAAGCAAGATTGACAAATTAGCAAAATTTGGAACTAACTGAATAAAATCTTCAAGTCATGATGTTACATACACCAGGATGAAATATAAGTTCCTGAGACTAAAAGCAAGAAGCTATAATGAACAAGAGGACTTCAAAAAAAACGAGGTCAGACTAAAACAACAACAACGTCTTAACTCGTAGGCTGCCTATATGAATCCTCACTAACCATGCATAATTCACTCTATTAAAATCAGCTTCATTCCAAAAAAAAAGATGCATATATAAAACCTGAGGTGGTGAGGATCACACAACATTT